AGCACAGGCCAAGGCGGGCGACTTAAAACCATTTGCCCAGAGATATTTTTTGATTTTCAAACAGGTGGGTCTACATTTAACCCGTAGAAAGTGTTTTTATGGCATTTAAAGTTATAGCCCATAGAAAAATAAGGCGATATTTTAGTGCTATAATTCGTTTGCAACACATCGTAATATTTTGCGTTTCTGTTCGATCTCGTTTCGGGCTCAAACAAAACTTCGATTTATTTTATTTTTCGCTCAGTCATACCATGAAGACCTGAGCTGCATGTAAAGACCATTGAAAGATTCTCAAGTAGCTGAAGTGCGACGCGCAAAGCAATCAAATTTTCAGAAAATTTAGCATAAAAGGAAGTAGATTTTGAGCTCAATCGGGTCGTAATCGTTTTTCGCAAATTTCTCCCTAGAAAAGCTACATCAGCAGAAACTAACTATGGTCCGTTTGTTTACTAGCTAGGGCCAGTCTATAGGCAAAAAATGAGCAAAATCGATTTTTCGACTTTTGCCGTTGTTTGGTCCATAGTTATGGGCACTGGCTCTTAAATTCGTTTGGACCAAAGTAAAAATGAGCAGATAACGTTTTTTTTTTTTTTTAAATTTGATAAAAAAGCCTATGCAAAACTTTTTTTGTTTTTATTATTGCTGTTTGTTTTCTTTTTTTCACAACAGAAATGTCCCTTCCTCCTCAGTCACCAACGCTGTCTTGTGTGACTGCCTTTTGATTTGATTCTCTGATCTCACTGAATTAAAATAGTTGTTATAATTATTGCAACCATAGTTAGCAAGCTGCCATCAAGTAACTCTTTTTAGCTTATGTTTCTGTTGTTTACAGGTTCAGTAGCCACTTTGTAATCTATGGAATAGCGCTTATAACAACTGAGATGTTCTCTAGAGCGGACCCTTGTAGAGGTAACTGGGCTTAAGTTCGTTGCGATTTTAGCATAATGAGGAGATTCGGAGCCACCTTAAATTTTCGCAGATTTAAGGTGGAGATGAGTAAGCTTGCGTCAGCGTGGTAGTCGCATAATATCAAATAGCTTCGAATGCCTTTGGCGGGAAAATCCTGATATATGTCAGTTAATAAGTGCTGTTGTATAATTGCAGGTATCAATCCTGAAGGGACCAGTACTACAAATACTGCAGATAATGCCTCACCCGGGGCCACTCCTTGTAAACAGCTTGATTATCAAGACTACGCTAATTACTTTATTGTTATGTCAGGCGATCTTTTAGGTAAAAATTTTATTTTCTTATTTCACCATGTGCAATTCAGTCCCAGAGGCTGGTCCAAACATTTGTTCGTTTAATACACCATATGTTCGTGGCAGACGTTTGTAGATCTTAACTAAGTGATTTGTGTTTTACATTGTTTGTTACCTTTCCAATCAGTCGCACAAACGAATAATCAATCAATGAATCAATCACTTGATCTATCTATCCATTTGTTTTTATTCAGAAAATAGCGTCATTTTCTGAGTGTAGGTAGAACGTTGAATTCACTCTTTCTGTCCTACTCTTCCCGGTAACTTTTCAATAAATGTACTGACCAATTCATAAAGCTTTCGCAGTCGCTTGCGTACCAAAGTCGATTAAAAAAGTTTTTTGAGGTGAAGGAGATACGATTAGTTACGATTTCTAAATTCTAACATTAGGTAGCTCAAATTAAGAAATTAGCAGCAATGCTACTCTGTAAATTCGAGGGTAAATAAAGTTTGTGGTGACGATGATATGATGACTTATTAATTGATATGTTTATTTTTTATTTTTTTTATCTCATAGGATTAGTATTTATATTTTTCATGGTGGACAAAATAGGTAGAAAAATGGTGCAATTTGTGGCTTTCTTAGGAAGCGCTATTTTCCTAACAGCTTTATTTATTTGTACAAGAAGGTGAGTATAACTAATCTTTCGTTGACTCCTTGCATCAATCTGAAAATTCAATGTTGATTCTCCCTATTGATATCCACACGTTCTTTCAATGCAACTTCTGAGAATTTGGGGGCCGTGTCTTTTGTTTTTTCGGGAAAGAAGAGAAGGTCGATTCTTCAAAAGAGGTGTATGTTAGGAAGACTCGGGTTACACTGCCTTTAAAGGAGTAGGTCACTCCAAAAACCGTGTATTTTTTTCTATCACCAATAAAAAGTTCACATTGAGTTGAGTTACTCACCGTTGTTTTAGCTTCTGAAGTGGATGCGATCCTAATGAAAAAGAAGTGAAAAGTTCG